AAAAAGAAGGTTCACTTTTGCATGCAAATAAAAATTCAGGTCACATGAGAGCCATGAGTTGCATTGGCTGACAGTGCGTCAGTCTGAATGCGTTGCCATTTGGTTTCTCATAAAATATACCACAGTATATGAATTGAAACGTGAAAAAAATGAGACACTCCCCAAAGGAAATGTGCACACGAATCGTTTCAGGTGTTTACAGCAACCGAGTATTGAAATGTATAACATTGGAAAAAGGAACCGTATGAAATTCATTGAACTGTTGTTCGCGTGTACATTGAATATATATTTCCAAAAACTTGGTGTGTAATTTGATGCTTAACAAACGGAAAATTGCCAAAAAGGAACAAAAGTCCACAATATAAAAGGCTTTTTGTTGATGTCTCGCCATTTTCACATTGTATTCAGAAAAGTCATGCATTTGCTCGTGTTGGTGCAACCAAATTCATATAGAATCGCATAAAAATGTCTACCAAAACAATAAATAACAGTTTCTTCTTTGTAGCACAGTGAGGATAGAAATGTGGAAGAGGGAGAGAGTGAGAGAAAGGTGTACTTAAATTGTACGAAGTGAAAAACAGTCATATCAAAGTAAATATGAATGCATGAGAATAAAAACTCAATTTCACCGTTCACATCTCTTACTTATGTAAATTCCTTCAAGACAGAGCTGTGACAATCAAATGTTGACTTTTTGTTCTCATGTATTCACGTAACAACTTGCAACATCTGAAGAAAAAAAATGTATACAACCAAACAATGGCAGTTCTTTTTGACACGTGCTGATACAAAGCATACGCTCGAACTGATGAAAATTGAGCATACAGGAATACAACATGCACCCAAAAACGAGCATTCTTCACATACACGCATATTTATAGCTAAATTTAATATTGACTCTTTTCTACAGTGATTTGCTTGTTTGCCATTCTCTCTCTCTGACTCTCTCTCGCGCGCGTTACTTTCGATTGTCGCGTTCAATTTTCACGCGCGTCTGCCGTTCGTTTTTTTTTTCTTTTCGTTTGAAAATTGTCGTTGGTCGGTCGAAATGCTGTGAATTGTGTGTGTCGTTACTTTTTCTGGTTCAACGCATATCATCGAAATTGTATAATAATGTATATGTATCCCTTGATGTTATCGTCAAGTTTAAGTATTGAATTCCCATCGAGAAAACGAACAAAGATAAGTCTAGCAAATCTATTTTTTTTCATGCTCTTTTCTTTTCTTTATGTTGTGTTGTGTGTGCAAGGCAAACGACAGAAAGCGTGCGAGGAACCAAGAGATTTAGCAAAGTCTGAAAGTTCAGCGACTTTTTTCTCGGTTGTTTTTTCGTTGCCATACGCAACACATCTTCGCTCCTCATTCATTTCACTCACATTGTAAGCGATTCCTATTCGTTTTCAAAATAGTCGTTTTAATTTAATTAAGTTGCGTATTATCGACAGACACCAGATAGTATTTTCATCGATAAAAGTTTTCGGATGCAATTCCAATGAATTTTCATATGACATACGATAAATAATAGTACATCCAAAATGTAACTGTTCATTCACTAAATTAGCTTAATTAAACTGATTGACTGCAGTTTATCAGCGTTGATTTGCGTTTTCTTCTTCACCTGAACTATTTCCAAGGTGACGCGAGGCGATTTTCAATTGTCATGACAATGCACTCAAACGTAAGTACGTTCATTTCAAAAAGTGTACTTACGTTCGGTGATTCAATGCTTAGGCTTTTCCCATCAATTTAACGTAGTGACAGTAGTTTTTCTTTTATTTCTATTTCAATGCATGGTTCACTGATTTTATTATCCAATCAAACTAAAACTATTATAGGAATAGGAAAAGAGAAATGTGTCTCATTCAGAAATGCCACAAATCAAATTTAAAAGCAAACTTGTTCAATCCAACTTTTCCATCCATTTTCATACTACACGAATTGTTCATATTTATGCCAGTTCAACTCATGTTGACTCATCAACTTCAATGGTGTTGTTTTATATAAAGTATAAACTTTCAACAGTCTTCAATATACTTCAATCAGTTGAAGGGATTTATTTTATTTCGATTGTGTGGCCATAAATGCCATGTTTTTGCATCGATAAAACTTTTATGCACACATTTTATGTGGACTTTTGTTCATTGGTGCAATGGTCAAAATGATATGATATTTTTATTTAACGAATTTGATGACATCCATGAAATTCGACGAAATTCTATTAAGTTGAATTGGTGATGAGAGTAATGAATAAAAATCACACGCTAATTAAGTTTTCACACATAAAACGTACTTAATGAACTTGCAATTAAATGTCGCAAAAAAAGTTTTGCAAAAGTATAAAAAAACGTTTTCATTTCAGTCATATCAAATATTTCGCTATTGTACATAAACTGTACTGAACTTGAATCATTGTTTTAACCAGTTTTTAATGGAAAATACAGCCACTCAAAATTCCTAGAGCGCAAATAAAATGCAATTCGTTGTATCTGAAAGTGATTAGCAAAATGAAATTTTTCCAAACATACACACACAAAAAAAAACACAAATATTGCGCATAGACACAACGGCACCGAATAATCTAATTATGACTTGAAACAATAAAACTTTTCGTTCCAGTGTCTGGTTTTCGTTAGTTGATGATAAAAACCTGAAATAAATATCCATTTTATTTGTCCGTATTTTCGTTGTTATTGTGCGCATTCGAATATAAAAGCAGGTGTATTTTAACCTGAACTTTACCAGTTATTTTTTCATCGTCGAAGAAAAGACGAGAAAAAAAGAGCAGAACACTCATCTTTGTTAAAATATAATCTACGAACGAAAAGCCATTTTCAAGATGCTGAAGACACAAGGAATTATATTTGTGATTTCCGGTCAGTAGTGTTTTATAACACATATAAATAAATCCTATAAATTTTATCTGTGTGCGTGTTTGTCTGAGTCATATTCTGGCCGATTTCTTTTTGAAAATACCACATTGTGTGAAAAAAAAAATGCGTTCATTATATCATATTTTATCTACGCATTTGACATAGGTCTCTTGGCAATTATGTATTGTGCACCCAATGTTAACGAAGCATTTTTTGATGACTATGATGAATACAGTTGTCCCGACCGTTGCAAAGAATTGTATGCACCGATTTGCGGCCAAAACGATGACGGGGACCGACAAATATTCGTAAATCCATGTTATATGTCTATGGAGAATTGCCATAAACCCAACAATAAAGGTTTCAAACGTGATCATATCATCTTCGTTTTTTTTCCACTTGTTAACATTCGAAATAAAAAAATGCATTCATTTTTTGACAGTTTATTACAATACAACATTCGGCGATTGTCCAGAGAGCACTGAATGGATGGACTAGGCCAAAAAATAGCCGCACATCACAAATCAGACTGCTTTCTTCTTCATTACACCAAATATAACACCATAAATATTTGTTTATGTATTAAGAACGATTTTGAATAAATTGCTCGAAGAAAAAGAGAATCAAGCAAATTGCGATGTGTGTTTTCTTCAACAAATTGATGATTTATGGTACAAACACAAAAACGTAATACCATAATCTGAATATACTTTAACCTGAATTAAATGATCCGGAAATAAACGAATCTCTGGAGTTTATCAAATTTGTCATATTATTGTCATTAAATAAAATTCTATAAATTCCCGGAAAAAGACAATCGCGATAATGAATGATGAATAGATGAATATAAATGATGTGCATGCAGTTCCGTTTTAATGATGAATCTAATTGATGAAGCCTTTATCGCATATATTAAGATGCGATGATATTTGCATCGAGCACTTGACATTGGTGATATTGACGTCATACAAACGTATTTTACGCACATTTAAGCTGATTCACAAAATGAATTAGCTGCATCTTTTCCAAATTTATTTTAATTGTCCCTGTGATACACACACACACATGTGTAAATCACTGGGCGTATAGAGCTTCGGTCGAAGTATGTGTTAATTTTCATCATTTTATTTGTTCAACTTTTTTTTCGATTTTTTTTGTCTTGGATAATTCATCTTTATGTTTATGTCGGCATTAATATATTAGCCAAATAAAAAGTCACACACACACACACATTGAAAATGCAACTCATCAAATTGTTTGTGATTAAACAAGTAGCAATTAAATGTTTGCCTGTGAAAAATAAGATGAGTCATCGATCAACCAGACATTTCAAGAAGATAGCTGTTGAAAAATGTTTTGAATGAAAATCAATATCGTTTGTATTTGTGTCTAAAGTTGCGTAAGAGTTTTTGCCAGGTGCCATCTAACCCACATTTTATACCATTTCGAATATAGTATTCTGGAATCTGCTTGCTCATGGTATGTGTGTGTGTGTGTGTGTGTGTGCACCTTTGGTGCAAAAAGAATGACGCGCAAAAAATGGAATAATAGAATTTCACCATTTGCCACAGATAGAGAAACATGTATAAATAACCAATCACAACTGGAGCTCAGAAAAATACGAGAAACAGAATGATATAAGTGAATGAAGACAAAAAAAAAACGAGATACGGTTAGAACTCATGTAAAAATCCGCTTCGTGCATTTGAGAGCACAAAACGTGTTCAGTTTTTCATTTCAATCAGTGCGAGATGCAGTGCAAGATGATTTTGTTGTTATTGTTGTTGCTGTTTATTCGTTCTTGTCGACAACTTCTTATATCGTATCTCATACATTTCGTACGATTCGTGCAACACGAAACCAATTCAGCGTGTATTTTAGAACAAGATGAGATAATTCACGGTTTCTTGAGAAAAAATTGGGATTGTTCGCTCGTGCACAAACAAACAAACAACAAAACCAAGAGGAAAACAAAATAAAATCGTTTGTTTAATTCACAGAATTTTCATGATTGGAAAAGTAATAATTGGAATATTTTACTTTGATCTGCGTCAATTTTACAGTTCAACGCGGACTTTACAGATCACTATTCACCTATTCAATATACTAACGACAAACAATGATGCCCGCTTCATTTTCGCACACACAAAAAATTAATATATTAACGAACAATGTGAACTTATCAGAAATCATATACAAATAATTTATTTACAATCGTTTCTGCGTCTCTGTTTTTGTTTAAACATGTTTTGTTAGTATATTTGATTTAAAAAAATTCAGAATGATATGTTTAAATGTTAAGTTTTTTCCGAATGCTGTCGTCACTGAACCATTCGTCGTAGTCGGGACAATCGGATTCATCAGTCAAATGGAAAACTGTGTGCGAAAAATCAAAATGAATTTTTCAATTGAATTAAGACCGCGTGAGTGTGCGTGTGTGTTTGTGAGAGAGAGAACGAGAGTCATTGAATTTGTTAAATTGAAAAAGTACCTTGTTGAGGCAATTGATTGCAATTTTCCATTGACATGTAACAATCGTTTGTGAAAACTTTTGTGTCGCCTGCTTGATTGATGCCGCACAATGGATAATATTGTTCAGAACAACGTCGTGGACACGTATTTTCATCGTAATCCGAATGCCGTTGATGTGATTTTGGAAAGCCAATTACCATGGTTGCGCCTGAAAAAAAAAACGAATGCAGCAATCAACAGTAATGAATATCAATCACTAGATAACAATGTTATCCATGTATTGTGGCTGAAAAACAATTGAAAAAATTACCAAAAACAACAACTATAGCACTAAATAGTACTCTCATGTTTGAAATGTGCGCAGTTTTTTTTTGTTGTCACTCACAAAATGTAACTAACTGGATACGGTGACTGAAACAATTCGGAGATACAACCGCTGATGAGAGATGAACAACAATTGAACACGACAAACTGATGCTTTACTATTTGCACTCAATGAATTTATACAAAACGTTCAGTCGTTGCGCGATATACAATCAAGCAGCGCAAATACACCGTTGATAAACATCAATGTACGCATTCAGTGTTATAAATATCCGTTTCACATTGGCACATAAAATGGTCAGTAAATTAAAACGTGATCATTTCGCTTGTGGAAAGACAAAAAAGGAGCCCCTTCCCTCATCACACGTTGCCGTTGTCAATAACAATACACAAAGATAATGATGACAATGATATATTCCACGAAAAAATGAACAGACACTATCATCGAACACACACACACACACACCTATCTCAAGCAGGTGGCATCAGAAGGCCTCGAGAGTTTACGTTGTCATTTTCACAACTTCTTTTCTGTTCATTGTCTCTTTCTTCCATCATTAGCATAACATAATCGTATTGTGGATGTTCTTAAGGTCAAAAGTTAAAGAGATGCAACAACACGACCAACAAACTCAATAAAACACTGCGCATAGATAACTTAATCGTGAATGGTGTGTGTGTACGAGGATTACTCAGAATGGGCCACAAAGCTGCAAAAAAAATCGAAGGAGGGAAAGGGAAATATACAGTGAAAGAAAGAGAGATGCAGAGGCACATAGAGAGAGAGAGAGAAAGAGAGAGATATGAGCATGAGCACATACCAACTCAACATTTAATTAATAAAAATGCGGGCGAGAATCGAAGTAAAATTACGCACTTGCATAAATTCGTAATTAAAATCTCATTGCCATGAAAATTAGCATCGTTTGAACGATAAAGCCAAAATTGTGCGTCATTATCATAAATACAAATGAATACAGACGGCAATGATGAGTATGAATGGTGTGATGATGCATTTCAAACAATGTTCATTTAATTTACGTTGTTTTTTTCCTCTTCTATTTGATGTAAACGCATATCAGTCGCATTACACACTTTATTTATGCATTCAGACCTATTTGAATTAAGTCACACGCACCGATGGACGAAGAGAGTGAAGCAGATTTAAAAAAAAATGCAACTCGTCTAGAAAGTCGATTAAATATGAATGCCGATTCACTATAATAATCTGCATGGATGGCGATACGATTATGAATGTTCAACGTATTTCACTTGGTTTGGTCAAGGTTTCGTCACAATCATTTCTCATTTGTCCAATGATACAGTTCTGTTGAAGATGATTGCATATAAAATTACATGCAAAAGATATAATATAGAAATCGTAACCGGTTTTTGTGCCAGCCATTATGCAATCTTATTTCTGCTAGCTGCTTATTACTATGCCAATCATCACGCATTTGTTTAGATGTCAGTGGAAAGCAACACAAACAAAAATAAAATCAGAAAATTTCTTCAATGTGATTCGTGCGAAAACATTTCATTTGAATTTAATTGTGGGAGTTAAAATCGTTTTATGGATGCAAATCGATGTTAAAATATTGAAAACGCTTGAAATTCTTGATTTAATTGAGTATTAACATTGACCAGATTTATTTTTTACCGGAAATACACCATTTATAACACAGTTTATTGACTAAAAAGGCCGTTACGCATTTCAATTTCGAAGAAGAAAAAGAATGTGATTATGTGTGATTTGAAAATATTGAAATTAGAAATTCTGTTCTGTTCATATACAATTTAAATTCGTACACTTTTGGTAAAACCCCAAAATTTTCATCAAACTATGACGATATACCAACAAATTATAGTTTTTTATCTCATTGAAACCGGAAAAGGCTAAATAAAATCATACAAATGTTCATGTAAATTAATTAATTTAAATTCCAAGAGAAAATAAGTAGCTTATATATGTCAAAGTAAACAAAAAACTATTTTGTGAACGCTTACGTGATGCGGTGTGCAGGTTGTTCAGTGTTCCAGGTTTTTGGTTCGAATAATTATCAAAGAATGAAACTTATATGTACGACCAAGTGGCGTGAATGCATTTTGGAATTTGTGACATGACAATGCAGTGCATGCCTAAATGTATTCACAATAGTTGCAACTAGCTTTTAGTTTGGCATAACACAAGAACATTGCAAACTGGACTATTTTGGTTCGAGATTACCCAGATCTCTAATATGATTTTGACTATTATTTATCACGATGTCCCGTTTTTTTCATCGTTTTGAAATATTTGTTTAATTTTGTTTTCAACCCCTAGTTTCACGTGGATTAGAAACTGATTTTCGTTTGTCTTTAAATTGAAAACGAACATAAATACGGAAACACTGCAGAGGAGTAGCTCTATGATGAATTCAAGTGAATTTCTGAATTTGGAAATAGAAATTCGTTTTTTGGGGTATTCACAAGTGACATCTGCAGATTATAAGAAAGAATACAATTGTAACAAGTTGTTTTATAGGACAAAAATTCAAACGTGTCAACCTAATGGAAGAAAAACTTGATCGATAATAAAAAAATGTGCTTGCACGTTGAATTTTCTTTAATAAAAATTGAGCTTACAATTATTTTGTATTACACTATTCATTTTTCGTCCATTTACATTCTGTTTGAAATTGTGTAAAGCATTTTGGTTGAATTAAAATCCAGGCGATTATTTTGAATAGCCGATTGTCAGGCGCATTTTTTCGCTCTACCTTTCGCTTATCTCAAACATCACGTACGGTATATGTGTTGTACATTTTGAATATGCAAGTTATATTTATAGAATATTTTCAGAGCTTGAGTTTGATATTTAATTGGATATGGTTGAAGCTCACTATATAATGGCCGTTTTCATGTGTGTGTGCATCATTCATTTGCTCTGATTCGGATTAAATTGACAAGTTGGTTATATTCATGAATATATATGTCCATATTGGTTTACATTGATGTCACAACATAATGGTGTTGTTGTGAATAGGTCATCGTTGATGATGCATTCTGTGATCATAAAATAAATTCGTGCAGTTGATACGAATGTGTTTGCTTTATGATAGCGCAATATGGAGCATCAACAAACACACATACAACTCGGATTATAAAATTGATGGGAGTTTCTTCGTCGACATTTTCATGTTTCGTCGCACTTAAGATGAATTTTGTTGTGCGTTTTTCATACATTGCACTGGTATAACCATAAAAGCATATCTCTTTTGACCAGCAACAATATCATTACCATTGGTTCAATATTTTCAGTTGCTTTCCGAACGTTAGTGTAAATTGGAGTGTGAGAGAGATAGAGATATGGTGAATGAGTACATTAATGACTATCAATGTGCGTCGCTCTTCTTCTACATTGACAAAATGAAATATCAATCTTTCACAAAATTACCGTGAGAGAAAGAATGCAATTTTTCAACTCCAGCGGAAAAATTATTATTTTAAGAAAAAATACACAAACCATCTTACGCATAGGAGATATGATGTTTTTGTGCGGCATCCAGCGAATTTGCTTTCTTGATCACTGCAAGACCAGTCGATTCTATGGAGATGACATGCTGTAAATCCTTAAGCTAATTAAAATACAACATTTGTAAACATCTGAATATAAGTTGAGAGATCCGGTCAATTTAAAATTATTACGCAACGACCAATGGCATATTCTTAATTTAATTTATAACCATCATGGTCGCAAAATTCATTTCCAATTAGAGTAAAGTCCAAGGATTGGTGCAGTTATCCATCGTCCTGGACGTGTATTTGAAATTAATCCGTTCATCATAAAATCATAACCAGAAAACTTTGAAAATTAATTAAAATCACATGTAGAATTTGATTTGAGTATAACTGCATCTAAAACAAACATAAAACAACTGCAGATGCTTGGGACTCGGAACTTAAAAAAAAAAAACTTCAATTAAATATAGATTTCCATGAATTGGATATATAACGGTAAATACGGATGTATTCCATTCCCCCCAGTTACCAAATGTCAAATATATCAATTTTTGCGCCACCTGAAACTTTTTCAGCGCCATCTGAAACGGGCGTGTGTAAGATCTTCTTTACTACTGAAACGCATAAAATGTTTTATTTCGAAAATAAATACATAAATTTATTAAATTTGACTGAGTCCAACCTGGGACTCAAATACCTATCTTCCCCTAGTCCAGATGTTTAATGAAAATGTGCCAATTTGCGGATTCTCATTTTATCACGTGTAGTGCTTTCATTCGCATGTTTCTAATTTATAAATCTCTCTTTTTTCCATGAAAATATATATGTTATCGCCTCCATATCATGCGTAACAACATGTGATGGCGCATAATTCATTTTATATGAAAATAATATATTTTCAAGACGTGACGATATTTAAAGTTTTATTGTTGCATATCTACCTTTGCACAGATAGAAAAAATGTGGTATTTTTAAATTTATCATTTATGACATCTCTAAGGCATAGTTTTCAAAAGTGACTATTTGTTGAATAAGTTTTACCAACTTTTCGAAACCACAAATGACGCTAGCCCATGAATTTTGCGAATGTAATGAAGCAATTGGTGAAACTTATTCAACTGATAGTCTCTTTTGAAAATTATGCCTCAGAGATGTCAAAAATGGTAAATTTAATTCGTTGTTTGTTGATTTTTTATTAAATGTACCAAAATTGAATTAAAAATACCACATTTTTTCTCTCTGTGTAGATAGATACTCTTCATGTAATTATTTTATTGTTTGTTTTCTTGTCAGCCACACGTATCATCCAGATATGTTTGTGGCTGGGCGCTCAGCTCAGCGGATATATCTATCCATTTATGATACACTGGTTGTACGATAATTATAATACAACAAAATGTTTTTAATTAATTTATAAATATCTTAAAACTAAACAAAACTAGAGAAAAATTTATAAAATACGGCAATATGATGATAGAATGCTATGATTGTTATTTATTCGCATTTATTTCACAACAGCATACATTGGAGCGATAAACAAATAAGCTTCTAATTTAGATTGATAAAATATGGAGATAGTGTATTGCAAATAAAAGCGGAAATTGTTATTCAACTACATAAAACTTTTCACTAATAAGCACCATGGAAGGGGTATTTTCATTCAACTATCATTTTT